CAATTAACTCATGTCATATCTGTATAATATTCTATCATATTTTGTCTGGTAGAAGAAATATTTAGCCATTGCAATCTTTTTGATTTTTTTTTACAAAAATGTAAAACTTAAAAAAATTTCTACGCCTGACAATCAGATTTTGTGTAATTTGATTTTTTAATAATTATAATAAACAGAACCATTTGTTTTTTTTTATTCCTGGCATGTAAATATGTGTCTGTTCAATCATCATATTTTACTTCGTAGAAGTAACATTCGTATCGTCATGAAATCTTATAACTCCTCTTTTTTTAAATAAAGCTTCGAAGGTCCGTATAAAGTCGAATTTTGCAACTTTGTTCTTAAAATACAGTGATACATAAAATTATTTGCATGTCGGCTACACTTTAATGCAGATTGAGTGACATATCAGATCGAATTTTTATTTGTCTTTTTCAGAAAAATCGTAGAAACTTGTTGATCCTTAATAATTAAATAATGAGTTTACTTTTATTTAGAAGTACGCATATTAATTTCAAATACGTGAATGTTCTTTTATCTGTCATTGGAATAATTTTATATTTTAACGCTAAATTATAAGTTAAATTGTAATCGTTAATTTCAGGTGGCTGAGATGCGAACAGTAGGCAATGTTTCCGGCAGAGTTTATACGAATTACTTACGCGCTGGTGGAAACTGGTGCGTGATGTCCATTGTGGCTATGCTTTTTATATTGACACAATTAGCAGCCAGCAGCGCCGACTTCTCTCTAGCCCAATGGATTGAAATAGAAGAACACTTTGTAAATGTCTATATACATGTTGCTAAAATAATTGGCGAATTGAGGCATAATCGCTTTTCCAGAAAATTGTAACGGTTATCCCTTCTTGCTCGGTCGGATTGACTCGTTGGAATTAAAGAAGAGAGAAATACTAATTTGGAAAAGAACAATAACTCCTTATCTATTTAGCTAATAAGAGTTAGTCTCGCTTGGCACATTTTCAAAAGTGTAATTTTTTTTAAACGTAAGCAGAAAGAAGTTTTTGTAGAAAGATCGTAGATCTCATTTTACATTAATCATATTTCGTTAATTGTATAATTTTATAGATGAACCAAACGGAAAACGGCGTCGTAGAGGACCCGAGGAGTCCCCTCACCCGCATGCAGTGCATCTACATCTACAGCGGGCTGATTGTGTTAACAATCATCATCACCCTTATCCGCTCATGGACGTTTTTTTGGACATGCATGAGGGCTTCAATGCGCTTGCACGATCGCATGTTTCGCAGCATTAGCCGCGTCACTGTGCGATTCTTTAACACTAATACTACGTGTACTCAATCGCTTTTCCAAAGACATGGGAGCCGTTGATGAGATGCTGCCCGCTGCGTTTATTGACTGTC